ACTTCCTCGAAACACATAGTATATATTCTCTCGAATATAAACTCTGCTACATATTTTCATATATAAATTGCACAGTGTGATGACACACACTAAATACTACAGTAGCATGTACGGTCGTTGTTTCGGCACTTGTGTCAACTTCACTACAATGTAAAGCTGTGTTTTGCTCATGTGATATCCTGCAAGATGCATGAGATGAGCACTGTTCTGCCCTATAAGCATTATCCCATCGAACAATAGTCACCTTGAAAATGCATGTTCGTAATCTAAGCTCGTGTCATTGGTGGGTAAGTAGTGGAATTGTTATTCCGAATTCTGACAATGAGTGCTCAATGGCAGTGTAACGAAAATCACAGCATCAGTGTGCATATGTGAATTTCGTAAATTCATTAAAAATTTCCAATTCTTGTCACGATTGTTCTGAAATTTTCTTGGGCTTCATAAAATCAATGAGTTGGGTTGATCGTGAATGCTTTACTATAACGCTAACAACTCAGCACTCAGTATCGATGATGTCAATCACTTATTCAATACACCAGCTGAATAGTTTTTACACGTTTCAGAGGTCAACTTCCAAAAAATTCTCTGATTCACCAATGAGTGACCAACCGTTTTATCAAAACAAACATCAAATTGTATTCGTGCAAACCAGAATATGAATCGCGTTCATTCAATTTGCATAATAATGAACAAAAAGCTGTTCTCCTATTAAATTTATGTTTTATAGTATTTTGTTCCGTTTCGTATAATTGTTCACAAGGAAAAGGTCGTCGAAGAAGTTCACCCGTATTTACGTAATTGATACGAGTAATCCTTCCACGAATTCGAATGATTCGTTTCGCTGCAATTAAAAGAACGATATTTATCGTTTATCGTGATCTGAATCATTATGCTCATTTGAAAATTCGTCTAAATGAGCAAATCAAGCAAAACAATGAATTCGTTATTCGTGTGCCCATTGTGTGTGTATGCGGCGAATTTGAGGTCATTTCACGATGTATTTATATCGGATAGCATTCGAGCATGTTTTTGTTTGGTTGTTATCACAGTGTAATCGATTTATTCCGTTCCAATAATTGAGTCACAGCTGACCTTCAGCCCCTCTCTTAGAATAAAGATGAGCGAAAGACATCGTAAACTGAGTGGAACGTTTTCATGTGCCATTTTGGCACCGATCTTCGCACACATGATGTTGATCTTTGAAATTGGTGAGAAACTGTATGATCGGTGAAATTTGAGGGAATTTGATGAGTTCCATAATATGTATAAAGAAATTCTCAAAGTCACAATGCAACAATTTATCAAACAAAGACAAAAGCTTGGAATGGAACTGTCAGCAAAATAGATTTTATACGATGGTTGAATTACTGTTTATATTCGGTACCATCCTTCAACTCACATGTCCTATGCAGTAGCTTGAAATTTGCTCATCGTTTAGAGGAAAAACAATCTGAAGCTTTTACAAAACGACATTTTTTAATGCCAACACANCGTCATGAACTGAAAATTTCCAGTTTTATCGGCGAAACGGTGAAGATACTTCCGAAATTCTCGACGAAAAATCATGAAATCAACTGAGTAGCTACAAATCATTTCCTTCATCATCATTTCGTCCTCATGAACGTGAATGATACCTATTGCTGAATTTTTACCCAAAAACGGACGACTGTAGAAGTAGCGAGTTTTTGGGTGATTCGTTCTTTCAGTAAATGAAGAAGAAGTCTTAAACAAATCCACTACCAATGGAACGTTTGTATGGCAAAAGTTATTTTCAGAACGATTGATGTGAATGAGTTGTGCGCTAAAAATGCATTAATAACAGTGATTGCGACTTGAGAATGGGGAAAGTAACAATTGTTTTACGATGTGTTGCAACTTGTTCCGAGTGTGTATAATGTTCATCGAAAGTCATTCGGACTGTGAATAGAGTTTGTTGGAGATATATGTTTCAGCTCAGAGAAAGGATGGAACTGGAAATTAGTTTAATTGATTTGTCTTATGCGGCATTGTTTTATCGTTTCGATGTAACATAGCGAAGAAACATTTCGATGAATGTTCACGTGTTCAACTGAAGGAATGTACAATACGTTTGGTTGTTTCTTTATTCTTTTCATTGTTCTGTTGATTGCTCGTTTAGGATTGATCAATGACGGAAGCAGTTCAAATTGGCAACGTTTTGAAACATTTGCATAAAGAAATGCGGATAATAGATTTATTGTCAAACCAGTTCAGAGTAGGTTTTGGATAACATTCGAAGCGATATAAAATGGATTGGATTTGGACAAAGTCGAGAATTCACTTGCAACTATGGATTACGATGGTCGCATTAAGGCGTACAGATTTGTTGCCTATTCAGCAGTTGTATTTTCGGTTGTTTCGCTGATAACAGTATGCGTAACATTACCGATGGTTTATAACTATGTCAACAATATTCAACGGTATATGAACACCGAGGCAGTTTTATGCAAGGTAAGTGACTGTTTGAGAAGAAGTTGATTAAATTTGGCAAATATTTGGTCTTAAGTGTTTCTCTTTTCATCGATCCTGATAAGGTTCCCTTCAAAAACGATTGAATGTGCAAACCGATCAAGGAGAACGTTTGTGTGATGAATCTGAGAGCGCGATTCATAGTGTTAGTTTCAGAGGATGAGACATGTTTGGCGAATGACTGAGCGATGAAAATATAAACTGACTGATACTGAATGGAACCGATTGTTTTCTGCTTGAACGAGACCAATTTCAGAGATCTGCAATAGACATTCAGTCAGAAGTGAATCAGTTGAGGAGTTCTGCATTTATTGGGAATCGTACCGCTCGACAGGCAAATTCTGGTGGAGATGATTGTGAATCTTGTTGTGTACCTGGTGCTGCCGGACCTCCAGGACCTCCAGGATATTCTGGCGTACCTGGAAGGCCAGGTGCGCAAGGTCCTCCCGGAAATCCAGGCAAACCACCCGCTGACTGTGAACCGCCCACTCCACCACCATGCAAAAAGTGCCCCTATGGAGCACCTGGTGCACCAGGAGAACCAGGTCCACAAGGAGAGCCCGGAACACCCGGCCAACCTGGCAGTTCGGGTCTCCCCGGACCGAATGGAGAACCAGGAATGCAAGGACAATGTGGAGCGAATGGAGCACCTGGAATTCCTGGTGGAGCAGGAGATGCAGGAAAGAACGCACTGTGCAAGGCATTCATTCCTGGACCGACGGGGCCTCAAGGTTCGTTCTATGTACTTGAATTTGTTACGATTCAGAGCACTGATCTTCGCATCAATGACAGCTTTATTTTCATTCGTGAGATGTTGATGTTTGTTAAGAGTTCATTCACACTCTCTTTCGAATATACAGCCGATGGTATTTTAGGAGAGCCAGGAGTGTCAGGAGAACCCGGGAGTGAAGGACCACCTGGACCTGATGGAAGACCAGGAGCAGCAGGTCCAAAAGGTTTGCCCGGGGCTGATGGTGAACCAGGATTTGATGGAATGCCAGGCGAACCGGGAGCAGTTGGACCACCCGGTCTACAAGGAGAAAGGGGCATTTGTCCCAAGTATTGCTCTATTGATGGCGGAGTATTCTTTGAAGACGGCACTCGTCGTTAAGAATTTAATGTCGTTTTCGATTCGTGTAAAGTCTTATTGGATTAGGAATAAAGAAATATTTTATGGAGTTCGTTCATTCACAGCTGATTGTTGGATTTACGCACATCAATTCGAACTGGATGAATTGAAGCTATTGAATGTTAGTGCTCTATGAGCATGTTCATCTCAGAATCGATCGATTCGAATTCAGTTTCATTGATGGACAATATAAAATAAGCTTTTGACGCAGAAGTGATAACGCAATTATTCCATGTATCGATCTCGATGAATTATCTAATTTGAGGAAACTTAATTTATTGGAAGTGGAACAGTTGTCATGAACACGTCAAAAAAAAGAAGAAATATGCTTTCCGTTGAATGTGCAAAAGTCGATGGATGAATGATTTGAAATAATCTTTTGAGCAGACCTCACCAATTAACTTATCCATCAAATAAATGTCCAAATTCAACATTCTTAAGCGTAAGGATAGCCCTTGAAAGGTGCAAATAAAAAAAGAGTTGTAACAGTGTTGATTATCGTTGGATGGCAAATTATGCGGAGCTTCAGTACAGTTGTGAGCCTAATGGCGAGAGCAAACACTAGCCTGAGTCCAAGCATCAATGTAAGCTCAAGCCTGAACTTGGCTTAATCAATTCCGAAATTTTGAGCTTTGGACACTTTTACTCTAGCTCGGCTAATAATAAAACGCTGTTAATCCATGTCGGACATCTCTAACCTCTAACCAAATCTTACAGCATCAATTACAATCATGCAGAACGTCCTCATCGTTAACGTCACTGATAAATT